CCATGCACTAAATATGATACCCCACATTAAGGAACACAGAGTGAAGTATGAGTATGTACTTCCTATCCTGTAGGAAAACTAATAAAAACAAACATAAAGAATAAAGAGTGATTTTTATATCATGGTTATGCTTTTATGCTAATTTAAGAATTGATGCAATTTACTAATTAAGTTAGTTTCGAGAATAAAACACAAGCAACAAACCAGTTCAACAAATAGGCTTCATTTTCTGATGAAGTTCAAACAAACCAAAGTGGCATTAATTATTGCTGAAGTCCCCAGACCAATGCTATCCTATAAAATGACTTTATTGTGGAAGCTAATTTATGAATAGTGTAAAAAGGTCAAGTATTTGTATGGACTAATAAGGGATATAGAGGAAGGGGTGAATAAAAGAACATTAACTACACAGCCAAATGAAAATGCAATTCATCCTCACAGTATTCCATAAAAATGGTATTCCTATAGCATTTCAAAAAAACGGAAGATGTGTGATATTCTAGTATTTAGAATATCAGATACTCAAAACAGAAATAGTTATATATTTCTATGAATATGCAATTAAACTTGCCTTTGTTTCCATTATCAGATGTATTGTGATGGGTTTTCTCATCTTTATGACATTAGAAAGTTACTGATAATTAGCAACTTCAGCCTAAGATGTTTTCATTTTTAAAAACTACAAACTCCATTAAGAGAACACACCCATGAAAATACATCTTATGCACAATATACATAATGTCATTTCTTCACACAATGGTAAGGAGAAAAAAGGCACATAAAAGTACATTCTACCATTCATGAATAAAAAGTGATGATCAGTTAAACACTTGATGAAATTAAAGATTCTCTGCATTGTTCAAAGAAAGTTAAAATATAAAAAACCTGACAGCTCAGATAAGGTAAGTATTCAATTCTGAGTTTCAAATAAAAACAGTAAAAATTCTATAAAATTCTAAAAATATATAAATATATTTATTGGTTATATAATATTTTAATTTTAAAATCCTTTCAGGAGTATTAAGAAAAAGAAAGTGGCAAACATTATGATCTGTAAACATAAGTGACTTTAAAACACCAGAAATGAAGGGTCTGCATACCATTTTAGAAGGAGGACCTGATGGGGAGAAATTGACCTTTACTCAGTGTAACACAAGGTAAAATATAGTTTTCTAGTATGTACTCAATAAACATTTTTTAATAAATAATAAAATTAATTGAATATAAAGCTGGGATAAAGGATAGGTATATGTCTTAGTCAAGGGCAATGTCTATAATTCTAGTCTGATTTAAACATTAAGGAACATATTCAAACCAGTTGTATAAATTAAATATTTTGACAAGTTGCCTAGATAGCTTATGTAATAGCCCTTCATTAATAAAGTTAGGCAATTTATTTTAAAGTCAGCACTGAAAAGCAATCTGTTCCTTATTGTGCATTTATAAATTTGGAGCTAAAAGTCTTATGTGAAACTGAAACATCATACTTATAAAATATTCGCTTTTTTCAGACACACAGTCAGACAGACCTGCCTTGATCTTTTCACCCTGCTTTTCTCCCCCCTGCTGTTCCACATGCCCAGTTTCTTCATTAACTTCTGCACTTGCATGAGTAAAAATAAAGAAAAAGACTAGATAGGTATTCTTGTCACTCTTAATGAAACAAACCCCCCAAAAATCCAAATTATTTATAATGATACAATGGGTGATCATAAGGAGACCAGCAGATTACTTTTAATGAGTTTCTGACACGTTATGGAAAAGCAGATAAGGTTACTGTTAATGAATTATCATGTTGTCTATTTTTATGATGACTTTGACTTGTATATTATAAATTGTGGCCACTAAAATATTTGCAATCTGTGGACAACCGGGTAAAATAGGCAAAACACTTTGTCTAGAAACTTGGTATATTATTTTAAAAAGTCGTATAGCTTTTCTTCTAGAGAAACTAAAAATAACGTATGAACTATCTTTTATTTTTACAAACTGGCAGTACCTCAAAGTTAGGGGAAAATAAAATAATGATAAAGATTTACAGATGTTTAGTAAAGTATCCTTTCTATATCGCTCCATTTTATTTCTCTGATTCTCAGCAAAGAGAAGATGACTAAATACAGTACCACAGTCAGGACCAAAATATAAAAGACTTTAAATTAATTTAATTAACAAGTTAAATATAAAATAATTAACCGAAATTATAAAGACTTTAATAAAAACTTGCTTACTTTTTAGCTGTTGAAGAGGATTAAAAAATAAATATTTCAAAACTTTGATTCTAAAATAATGTCATTAAATTACAACTCTGGCAATTAATTTTACGAGATAATCAAACATAATTTGATTTAGAACATCAATTGATGCCTATTTTGGGTTACTGCACCTTTAACTTCAGTTAGAAGTTGAAGACTTCTAAAGGAGATAAGTAATATATCTCCTTTACATATCTCCTTTAACATTAAAGAAAATTACGCAATATGTACCTGCTGAAGTCTTCATATCAACATTTATGAAAACTGTTTAAAAACATCATCTGTCCTTTAAGTAAATCAAAACAAACAAAAAGCCTTTTATTTCATACTGAAAAGGATAAGAAGGTTTTGGTTGCCCTTTCTTTTATTGAGATAAAAAATGGAAAAATCACAACTGGGCATATTAAAGGTAAATTGTGGTTTTATTGGACTCTATAGGGGAAAAAAACAAATGATAAATAGAATGTTTATTGACAAGCCCCTTAGAAACTTCATCAACACTGACTTTCAGTATCAGCAATATGGTTGGTTTTCTGATATATTTATTATTACTAAGAATGGAGTTACTCATATCTCAATATGCTATTGCTATAGAAGATATTAAAAATGAATTTTTTTAAAAATGTGACACAAACTATGTTTCTGACTTCATATGCCAATAAATGATGCTCAAATTCTATCCTTAGAAATCTTGGGGAGACAAAGCATTCCATAAATACCACTGCACTTTCCATATGAAAAATAATTTAAAACTATGTACCCCTAATCTTAGGCAAATAATTGAGATCTATAGAAATGCTGTTGAAATCTTTTTTTCAGGCAGCATAGTAAACCATTAGTCACAACAGCACTGGATTGTTCAAAATTATGGTACACAGTAAATAAAAATAACTACAATACAAGTTGATACTCTTTCAGTTACAACTAACAAGAACTTATATCAACAAGTTATATAAGGCAATAAAGCACTGCTGCTCAAATGCAATGTATTTAAAAATTTGTTACCAATAGGTTATAGAAATAGTTTTAGTATAAACACATAGAATAACAAGATTATTTTAGTGGTACTTTATATACTATATGAGGTAGCTTTTCAGTTTTTAAATAAATATTTCATGCATTCATTCAACAAATATTTACTGAGGGCCTACAATGTGCCAGGCATTATTCTATGTGCTGGAGATTCATCAGTAAATAAAACAGTCAACAACTTTTTAAAGTTACAAAGTCAATTTCAGAATTCTATAACTAGCAGATGATTTTTAATTTTCCTAGTAAATGTATGACACTCCATATATCACAACTCAATATTTTCTTTTGAGTCATAGTGTAGAGTGTAGTATTTGATAATAAAATTACATTGTATTAAGCTTTGGTATATTGTAAGCAGTCTTGTTACAACATGAAAAATAATGTAGGAAATACAAACCACAATCACTACCTAATTCAACAACTATCTCTTCTAAAAAGCCAAATTTAATAGTTAAAAGATCATCATAAATACAAAATAAAATATAAGACGATAAATATAACTAGACTATGTGTACATCCTCAATGGCATAAACACAGACTGCAATTGATATCTTTGGTTAAAGTCTTTTTTACTCAAAATCTAGAATTTTGCCTAAAAAAAACCCAGATATTTTAAAAAGAGCAAATTTTATCTGATCATTTAAAAGAAGTTAAACTCTTTGAATTCTCACTTGATGAATCAAAGAAATTTAACTCCTTGGTAAAATTTCCAAGTAAATTAAAAGTTGAATACTTAATCAGAAGCCATAAAACAAAATAATTTTACTGTATATAAAAGTCTATACAATGAAGAACATCAATTGCAGTTGGGTTTATTTTTGCTTACATAGCCCCTCAAAAAGGCTGTCAGCACAAAACAAACCCTCCTTTATGTACAGACCTTCATAAGGTTCTATCTCCTTGACTCCATTGTCTAGGGAAAACAAAATAAAAACAAAACAAAAAAGGGGAACCAAAGCACAGGGGTTAAAAACAACAGAAATTTCCAAAGACACAGAATGTATCATCTATTAAAGAAAAGTTAAATGGTGATTTAAATATATATGTATATATTTGCAAAGCACATCCAGTTACCAAATAAAGGGATCATTTTAAAAAATGATATTAAAAATTATTATATTCTGTTATCCATGCTTTTAGAGGTTTTTTAATTCAAGAATTATAGATGTTTGAGAAGTATGCTCATGTGTGTATCAGCAAATTGTGCTTCTTATGCAAAAATCTGAAATTATTATTAAAAACATCAGTACAACATGCATCATTTTTGGTGTATTCATGATTACCTTTTTCTCGTACTCCAGTTTTGAGAAGGATCACCATTGTTGTGCATCAGCTAACCAGTCCTTTGCAGTGTGTGAAAATTGATTTGGCTAGTTACTAATAAACTTTATGTAACTATCAACAATTACATAAACTTAGTTGTAGCAAAGAAATATCATCCAACTTCTTATTTAAGAGTTTTAAGTTTACTTTTTAAAATGCATTTATTCAAATTTGAAAACATGCAAGAGCAATAAAGACAGCTTATTTTGCCTCCAAATATCACAAATTTTAAATAGAAAATATATAATATTTATAAATATAACTACTATCAAATGCAGCCAAGGCACCCAATTAACAAAAGAAGAAAATTAACACAATGATAGTAAGAAATTCTTGATTCACCTTAGTTTCCACGTGTATTTCCTATATTACATAATTAGAAATAATACTTACTTCTCTCCAATGTTCCCTTTGGCGGAAGCTGTGGAAGCTGTCGGCCCCTTCGTCCTGCCACTGGAGTACTTGATGGACTTGTCTGGACAGACCCAGTACGAGCATGAGACCTATAAAATATACCATTAATATTCATTTTAAGTACAATGAGTTAAATACTTTTAACACATTTGGTTCATATATAGCTGTATAAGTGTAATTTTAAAAGATGTTTAGCTGCTGATTAAAAGGTTAGGACAGTAGTACAAAATATGTACATTTGAATGACTACTTAAATAGCAAAAGATATTTATATTTTCATGTAATATGCATACATACAGACATACATGCACACAAAGCCCTATAGTAAAATCCGTGGAATTACTAATGTAAATTAGTATTTTATCCAAATGAAAGCAAGAGTAGAATTCTGCAGCTCAAAAAATAAGAAGTAATGCTTTACAATTCTTTCTACCAGATTTCAAACTCTTACCTCTAACCTTCCCCCCTCAATCCAAACAGATTTTTACTCAGGCGTACATTCAATATCCTTTTGTTAGAAAATCTTTCATGAAACTACAAATAAAACCCTAAACAATTCAAAATTCAACTAAAGAAAATATTGGTTAATACATGATACTGGTATGATAGAAAAAAACTAAAAATCCAGTTTTATTTATTGTGATTATAAATGATTATTTGAAAAGTGATGTCTAATGGACACAAATAATTTCTCATTGTGTAGGAGAAGAACATGGTGGTTATGAGTGGATTTACCCAGGATTCCTGATTAATGAGAAATCACAAAACAAATGTGGTCAGGACAGTTAATAAACAAATTACAATGGTAGCCACACACTATTATATCCACTGAATATAAATAGTGTGTTTACATTGAAAAGGTTAGTATTGATTGTTATTAGTGATCAGCCAAAGATGACAGAAGAGACCATTTAGCTGCTGGGAAAATAAAATGGTGTGCTGGTGGGGCAAAGGGGAAGTTAGTCTGATTGATTTATCTTTCACCTCGATAAAGCAGGTGAAGGAGGGGCAGATCTTCCAGTCATTAATGAAGGCATCGACCTCATGAGGTTTGTATCAGGACGTTCAGTGGATCTGGAGCGGGTGGTGGTCCGCTCAAGGAGAGGCCGTTGTTCTGTTGATCTGGATCTGTGATATGGCTGTCTATCTGCTGCTTCACAATCCCTGAAACGTTAGCCAAAAAGCAGCTCAGTTGATCTTTAGTGCCCTTCTGCTATTTGGTTATGATGCAAACTGATTTTGAAAAAGTAATTGTTTAAAATTATGAATATGTAAAAATTTTTATTTCCCCCCACATATTCTGAGAAAATTCTCACTAAACTTCTTAAGAAGTTCTAAGGAACTAAAATCTGCTTTTAATAGCAATTCCCAGTGAAGATAATAGGAGTTGCTTATTTACAATCTACAAACAAAACTGCCTGCTTTCTGAAATGAATTCCCTAAATGGAACATGTGAAATATGTGAAGTACTGTATTCTATTTTAAAAGAATTCAATGACATTCCTAACATTTTCAAAAGAGTGAAGAAAACCATATAAGCATTAATTTTCAAGCCCCTGAGACTGTTTACTAGCATACCAATTAAGATATAAAAAGGTTTTCAACTCATAGTATACCTGAACATTCAAACAGTACAATCAAAACGAGGTTATAAGAAAACAGAGCAACACTGAAGTCTGTAGCTATATTTAGATACGGTTCACAAGAAAAATCACTCTGTAGAAAACCAGTTAACCAGCCATCTATCTCAGTGCACTTTTGCTATGCCAGCCAATACAATTCAAAATGGGTATTAATTGACTGAAACGATTTCAAAATGGGTATTAATTGACTGAAACGATAATTCTGAAACAATGTGATCTTTTCAACCACAAATAAATCTAATACCAAAGCTTAATCTTATTGAAGGAAGTACACTTAAATTTAAGTAACCTATTATTATTGATTTTTGTGTCCCTGGAATCTAGCATAATGCTTTTATAACTAACATGATTAGCAATTGTTTTCTAACACCAGCTCCACAATTTGTGAGACAACCCTAAAAAACATTAGCTTTGGCTCTAGAACTCAAAAGTTCATATACATATGCCAAAGTATACTTCAAATCAAATGATTACCTTCCCATCCAGCTGTAACCACAAAAACAGAAATGCTTATATATTATATGTAGATAGTAAAGCAAGTATTAATCTCCCTAAAGACTAATGTATCAAGGACTAGCACTTGACCTACAAATTCTCTCAACCTTATTTTTGATAATGAAAAAATGTAGGCAGCAAAAGAAAAAGAAGAGAAAAAGGATACATTTCTCAAATGTCATGAATTACATAACATACAATTTTGGAGCAGTAGACAGATTAAATGAATTCAGAAAGTGAATACTGGGTTTATCCTACATTGTATCTTGTGATTATTTTACATTTTAAAATCATAGGTTAACATATGTCAAATCATTTAAAAATATTTTTAAGTATATTACCATAATATGATTGATTTCCTAAGATAAGTTTAGTATTTTATAAAAGTGTATCACGAACTTGTCAAAATAACTGAGATTAAATGTAAATATACATATAATATTCAATTACTAATCAAAGAGAAAAATAAAAGGCAACCATGTAAGTATAAAAATCAAATTCTAAAAATAAATAAAAATAATTCTAATTTTGTTTGTGAAAAATTATTTTAGAGAGAATACTTTTCCTTAGCTAAATCCCTTATAAAAAATCTCTTCTGTAAAAAAGTTTTTTGAAAATATAGCCAATCTTCAACTTTTATTTATATTTTTCTTTCTATAAACAATATGAAGTATACAACTACGACAGTATGAGATGAAAATAGATTAATAAATGAAACATGAAAAGAACCCCAATAGATGGCAGAAAGTTTCTAAAATGTCCCACTGGAATGAAGGGGAATGGAAAGCTACAATACTTAAAAAAATGGTCAACTTAGGCTCCTGCTCCCACGATTGTGTAAGAATAGGTCTGACTAGGTAAGACCTAAGGTTATAGCTAAGAAAATTTAAAGCAGCAATGCCTACATGACCCAATCCTAGTAAGTTCTATAAGGGATCAAGATATAAAACTTCACAACTTCCACCTAAATTCTGAGTGTTTTAATTTTAAGATAAGAATTTATAGATAATTAACTTTGAATAGTAGCAACTAAGAAGTTGGAAATAATAAACATTTGCAAGGCTTAAAATGTTTTAGTGACTACCTGGGGTTCTTAACTTGGAGTCTGTGTTTCAATACAAGTAATTTGTAATTCTACTTATTTACCTTATTTTACTTTATGCATTACTCTAAAAAGGGTGGCCTTCAGTTTTATCAGACTGCCAAAGAGTAAGCCACATGAAAGGTTATGAACGCATCGCTTGTAAATTTAAATCTTTCTTCGGTAAATAATTTTATTGTCTTTTAAAAAGTGATTTAGGAGGCTGGCTGGTTAGCTCACTCAGTAGAGCATGGTTTGAATCCCCAAACTGGCCAGTTGCCAAAAAAGGAAAAAAAAAGAGATTTAATATCCATCATAGCTCCTTTTTTTTTTGAATAGTTTATATTTTCTAATCTTTGTCTAAAATAGCTCAGATTTGTTTATTTGTCATCTACCTGGATTGACATAGATCACAGCTCTGCATTATATAAAGGCCTCTATTCCAAACTGCCAGCCTTTGCAGATGATACATTTTAACAGCCTCTCCACTAATTTATATTGACCCCAGTACTATAACAATAACCACTATTGTAGCAACCCAGCCTTAAAAGCATATAATAGCACATGCAGATTTTGAGAGGAGGATAAATTGATAACAGGTCACAATAATGAACAAAATTAATTAGAAGGCCTTTGAATTTAAATGTTAGTATTAACTCATAAGAAAGAGTACTACATTTTAGTACTTCTTTTCAGTCATTTCTGAGGTTAAAATAGTTTTATAATCATCTAGCAAAGTTGTCATTTTTGAATCATTTTCCCTATCAGTACAGCTGCTCTTAAAAGGTTTTTGAAATTTCCAGGTATCTGATATAGCTTCCAACTTATTTCATCATTGTTGCTACTTAGAGTCCTTATTTTCAATGAATGTACAAGGGATTTATGCAAGGTAGTAGGGAAGAATAGATCAGTGTGTATTGTTTTCTATAACCTATTTTATCCATCAATCCATCTATCACAATAACATAACTCCAAATCAATGAAAACTCAGTATAGAGTATCTCTACAGGAATGACAGAATAACAAGAAAACTTAAAAAAAAAAATTAAAAACAAGAACGAGCACAATTAAGTGCTTCAAAGCCATATCTAGAATCAATGAACATTGTCCTAGAAAGTTACTCAGAACCTAGTCTATACTGAAACAGAAACAGATATACTTATTTCAGGTTTATACTGTAAAGATGTCACATGTAAATTTAATAGGCTTTTAAAAAAATAAAGTGTAAAAAGTAAAGCTACTTAGGAATTAGTTATTCTTTTCTTTTATAAAGTTAAAACTTTAAATTAAAAAATTTTTGGATGTATCTCTGAAAGACAAAAAGTAAGGTCACAGGATTGAGGCAAGAAATGCCTTCCCTCTATCCACATTGTGTATGGAATGCAGAAACCTGATTAATAACAGTAGCACTATACTTTCATTAATATCTTGAATGTCTAGAGATTTTCTGAGCATTAACTACATTTTGCATTATGAAATAATAAATACATTATAAAATACACTCAGAAACATTAAAAACTAGATATTTTGTGGTAATTAATATAACATATATACACATATTTGTATAGTGCAAAAAATAATTTATAGTAGTTATATGACAGCTTTAACATTATAATTTTCAAATTCATCATAATGTTTAAGATACAAGTTTAACTTTTTTAAAACTCTAGTTTATATTATTTTAGCATTGCTTCCAACATTAAGAGAATTGAAAGACATAAAATATTCACCATGGAAATCATGGTGAATAAGTAAATAAGTACTGTGCATGAATAGAAATATTTTGTTATTTTGGAGGGAGATAGATTAATTTATCCTTGAGCATGACAGCACTTCTGTACAGAATATTTCTGTTGAGTTAAATATAAGACTCTGTGTTAGCTAAAAGTAAATAGATTATTAGAAAATACCACATTATAGAGAGCTAAGTTAATAACAATCTAAAACATGAAAATGGTAATACTATATGTACTGATGAGAGAAAGCAAGTCACTGCTAATGTAGAAAAGCATATTTTTATTACCCACGAGCCTATTTTGTCATCAAAAAGAGAAGTAATGTGTTCTTACATCTACAGAGGTTTTTTTTTTAAATACTCATTATTGAAAATTGGAAGATTAAATATTCCAATTTTCTCAAGAAAATCAGAGAAAAATACAATACTAAACAATAAAGGTACATTGAATTATTAAATATGCACGAGAAAAGACATGTAATTTGTAAATGTCATAAGGATATTTTGAGTATTGTATTAAATATTTATAATTTTCATTGTTATTTAATTTTTATTTCAAAAATAACAGAAATAGGCAGAATTATTTACCCAGCACAATTAACATGCAGCAAATTAATACATCTTTAAAAAATAAATTTTATAAATCCTGAGAGATAATATGATTGCCACCAGCTATCTATGAAATTCTTAATTAATAAAATAGATGGTTTTCATTTTCAATGGATGATAGAGTTTAATAATGATTTGTTTACTATAAGAAATTCAAATAATTCCACCAAGGTATTGGCCCTACATTATTCTTCCCCAGATACTCAAAGATTCCATAAAATAATAAACATTTTAAAGATGTATCTCTAAAGGATAAAATTATGAATTGTTACTATATCAAGTATGTGAAATGAGGTACTGTCCTCACACTAGAATATCTAAATGCTATATTCATCGGTTTCACCGATCAACTCTGAACAATTCACCAGCCTTCCTTTTATTTTGCTATCTTTACATGGGTAGAATAATGGGTATAAAGCAAATTCCTCATATGTACTGCTGCCTGCTGCCCTTAGGTGCCATTTCATAATGCCAGTGTAGATCATATACTCAGAGGAAGTAATCAGAAGATTGATTAATCTTCTCAAACACACAAGCACAACAGAACAAAAGGTGTGCTCATTTTCAGGCATAAATACTATTTCTTTCAGTCACTGTTGATGACATGATGTCCAAAATTCAATAAAAAATTATTGGAAACATCAAAAAGCAAGAAAAATAAGGCCCACTCTCAAGAGACAAAAGAATCAACAGAGGCAGATTCTAAGATGACACGTTAGAAATATCACATAGGGAACTTAAGTATGTTTGATATGTTAAAGATTTTAGTAGAAAAGATGAAAAACATGTATGAGCAGATGAGATTTCAGCAGATATATGGATGATGAAAGGTAAGAGTCAAATGGAAATGCTAGAAATAACAGAAAGAAGATACGGTAAAATGTCAGTTAAAAAACTAGCTGGGAGTCAATTTATAAATATCTTAAAGGCCTAGTTAAGAGGTTTAAATGGGACTTAATTTTCAATAAGAGTAATTAAAAGCTTCTGAACAAAATTAAGATTAATTCAACAGTAGTGCATGGAATGAATTAGACTAGAAAAAGGCTCTGATTTGTAGTAATGGGGGTGAAAACAGAAAAGAAGGTATGGGTGACAAACCTAAATCACAATACATAAAATATACAATATACAGTGTACAGAATATACATAATATACAGAAATATACAAACAGAATGTTAGGAATAGAAGGAAATCATATAATCCAACCTCAGAATCATATAATCCAGTATCAGAAATCATATAATCCAATCTCTCATTTTAGAAATGAGCAAACGAAGACTTACAGAAACTAGGACAAAGTCACATAATTTGATATTTTCTGACTGAAACTTAAACTGAGATTTCTTGATTCTCAAGCCTGTCAACTTCACTGAACTGTGAATTCTTTGATAGGAGAAATTCAATCACTATCCCTTAGTCATTGGTAATTTTGGAAATTCTGGCTGTCAATCATGTTCTTTACCCTAATTCCTATAGTAACGCTAGGAGATTTCAACACATATGCAGAAAATTGTTCAACAATCATGAACTTCAATCCGTAAATTTTCATAACTTCGATGATCCTCATTTTGTCCTGCATCAGCCCATCCCTTCTGTGGAAATACTGTGGATTTCAGAATCCAAAGAAACTACTCAAACTCAGCAATATTAAACTTCACTATCTTAAACTTTGTTTACAATGATTAATTCTGTTAGATGTCTCATAATCTCACTCCTACTTATCTTCATTTGATACTTTCTGGTCCATGGTCCCACCAATTTCTGCCAGTATATACTCCTAATACCTCTTTGCATTTCTTCCTTCCTTACCCACCCTGGACTCTTTGATTGATCATCTAAACTACTCCCATATATAACACTCAGCTTTCCTTCTAATCCAACTCTTCCTATTCAACCATTCATTAGAACCCTAACTCTGGTTTAATGCCATAGTTGGATATCTTCCCACTAACAACCTTTTACTTAGCTCCACCTCACTCATCTATTTCCTTCCTGTCCCAACAGTAAATAAGAGTTTTTTCTTGCACAAACCCCATCTGTTCATGTAGCTCAAACCCCTCCTACCTCTTCTAAGACCTTCTTCCAGTTATCTTTTTTTTCCTTGTATTTTCAACTTATGTATTCCTAGAGTATCCTTCACTCTAGCCTAGAAATTCATGGACAAATTTCCTGTTTTTTAAAAAAGAAATGTCCTTTGATATCACATACTCTAATCCAATATTTCTCCTCCACACTTTTTTGATAAATTCATTTCTTACCTTCTAGTCATGTTTACTGCAATCTGCTCCCCTTCCTCCGCCACCCCCTGCCATCCTTCTAAATATTATCCTAGCTAAAGTCACCAAGAACTGCTTACTTGACAAACCCAACAGGCATTCTACATTTATTATTTTTACTGCTGACATTATGTCTTCCTTCTTAAAACTTTCTGTTCCATTAGCTCTATTCTGACTTTTCTCAATCTTTCCTTATTATGTCCATGAGAAGCACCCACTTCCTCCGTCTGCCACTTAATGTTTCCCAGGGCAGAAGAAAACTCCTTGGCCTTCATTTCATGGCTTGTTTCTCAGGTTGATTTCACTTACATTTTTGACACTAGTTACCATTAGTAGTAAATTTACTCCTAAATTGCTCTATGTAGCCTAGACCTCTTTAATGTAAAATTATTTACCTTTTCCAGAGGTTTCTCCTTAGCCCTCTCAGTAATTCAAGAATCAAACAACTTCCAGACCCTTCTTTAGGTACCACATGCACCCAGTTACCCAAGCTATAAGACTGGGAATATTTCTTGACTCTTCGCTCTCCCTCAACATCCAAATTCTATTACCTACCAAGTATTACTAATTTTAATTTATTAAATCTCTCATCTCACTATCCCTCCATCCACTACCTTAATACATGTTTTTCTCTTCCACATCTTTTTGTCTTCAAATCAACCATCCACATAGTCTCTAGTTACCCTACATTGAATAAACTTATAATAGCCATTCCATATTTAAAACCCTTCAAGGTACCTCTAGCACCTACAGTCTTAGATTTAAATTCCATAACAAAGCATACAATCTTCTTCGTAATCAAGACCCTCCCTATCAATCTAGATTTACTTCTTGCTATTTCCTGCCTTGTGGATAATGCTCCAACAGCACTAAAATATTAGGTGTTCATTGCTTCTGTGACTTTGCTCATACATTTCTTTAAAATGCCACTGAAATCCTATCTTACCTCCACATAAATCTAAATAATTCCTATTCATCCTTTAAGATACAGCTGAGTTTTGTCTCCATCATGATGCCTTTACAAAAAATTCCCTACCAGTTGCCCACCATCAATGTCAGTAATTCCTTAATATGCTGTGGATATTTTTAAATAGAGATAAATACTAGCAAAAAAAAGTAGGGTACAGGAATATATTTTAAATGTAAGTGGTGTACTTATTAAAATAAATTGTAGACAAAAGAACAGATATTATGTTGATGGGGGTACAAAAGAGGGAAAGGGAGAGTGGAAAGGGAGGAATTGGCAAAAGGCCATGAAAATCAAAATAAATAAATAAATAAAATAAAGTGTATATTTTAATAAGGGGATATTAATAAAGGATAACAAGATATCCATTCTAAACATGTTTGTTTAAATGTTGATTGTGTTTGAAAATGCACAATAAATCAGATAATTTTGTACTAGTCAGCATAACTTGGCCAGAAGAAAAAGAGTTTTCATTCCTAATATTAGTTCGTATTTGTCTCCTGAAGTAATATAAAAGAAGTATAGCAAATATTATGTAAACCTGTATTCTTCTGTTTCAAAGAGCTAATATTCACAATTTTTCATGTTAAAATACTGGAGTAGAGAGACCAGTGAAAGCCTAGATTCTTCTTATGGACTGGTTATAGACTGGGGATGCCATGTTGGGTTAACTACTTTCATTCCATTTAGAGGCTTTCTGATGTCATATAGCCAAACTACAGCCCACCTGGAGCTATTAACAAGTATTATTATTATTCCCAGACGGGGAATTCAGATAAGAATAATGCTACCTTGAAACCTAAGCTGGAAAGTGGGAAACTTAGAGATTGGTGCCACTTTCTTTTGTACACCTCTCAATAAAAAGGTCACTTTTCCTTTTAAGTGTTCAATTATTTTGACCCAAGTAGGTGAATTAGGGAGAATTTGGATAATTTATTTCAAAAACTATTCTGCAAGAGAAAGAGATTGAATCAGATTTGAACTTTGTCAAACAGATAAAAGAAGAACAGTGTAGGAAGGGAATTAAAGATATTTCTGAGAATGGATTCAACCTCTGGATACATAAGTAGGTAAAGAAAGGTGGAAACTAATAGTGAGAAGGTAATGGGGTAAATAGAGTCCTAAAAGAACAGTGAAGTAAAAATAACTCAATGAAAGAATAAGAGAGAAACGTTTCCAATTCTAGAGTCCAAGAGTGTAGTATTTGAATTAAGATTTCAAAGACAGAACAATTTCAAAAGATAATAAAATTCAAATATGGCCATGTGAGGGAGTGACTGAAGTAGAATTGGGGGTAAAGCTCACTGTATTTGAGACAGTTAAGGAAGTGAGTGGGTGGTGAATCAATCATTCAGGTGAATGCTGACATTACTCAGACTAATGGCAGGAAATGTGGTGTAGATGAAGGCAAAAGCTAGGTGCTAAAATCATCAGTGAATAAAATGGCATAACCAAGAGGTCAACAGATAATAGCAACATGGAAGGGTAGTGGGTGGTTGTGTTTAGTTGCATTACACACAAAGATACAGGAGTTAAAGATAACAAGCACAGAACATTACATATATAAGTAAAGGAGACTAGACAGATGACTAGATAAGCATTTATATCTTCAACAGCTGTCCAAAAAAAAGTTAGCTCGAGAATCTCACAGTGGTTTGGGATGGAGTTCAGAGGGATGAGTAACTTAGAAAGTTAGATGAATAAAAAGCAAATGATCAAAGTCACTTTGAAAAGTGAAAGGAAGCGAATGTTAAACAGAAAATTCAGTATAGTGCTATTTCTGTGAAAGAGGCATAGGATGCAATCGGCAAGGAAAGTACAGGGAGATGCAAGGTATGTGACCAGATGTTCTGGTTCTCAGTTTGGGTAGTAGATTCATGAATCTTCATTTTATTACTATGTTTTGAAACTTACATACATTCTTTTGTATGTATAATGAAAGATAATATTTTTTAAAATAACTCAGGAAATTCAAAATCTACCCAAATTGTGTAGGAGTAGGTGTCTGTTAGACCTCATTCAGGCCCTCATGGGTTGCTGCTGCCCTAGACCAAGAAAGTGCCTTAATTCACGTGAAATAAATATTACATATACATGTAAATGTACATAGCAAATCTTACAGTTAGATATTTGATAACTCATTTTCTTTTCTTTTTCTTTTTTTTTTTTTGTCTTTTTTGTGACCGGTAAGGGGATTGCAACCCTTGGTGTGGTGTCGCCCACACCGCGCTCAGCCAGTGAGCGCACCGGCCATTCCTATATAGGATCCAAACCTGCGGCGGGAGCGTCGCTGCGCTCCCAGCGCCGCACTCTCCCGAGTGCACCACGGGCTCAGCCCAATAACTCATTTTCTAAAACAGATTTTCCTCTGTTATATTTTAATACAAACATTAATAATCTTGTGTTTTTCAGCCACAAACCAAATCATAGTCTAGAAAGACAATTTACAAATGCCCCCTTCAAAACAGGCCAGTTAGGTTGAGGTCTAGAATTTTAATAAATATAATTATATGGGGCTGGCCCGGTGGCGCACTGCTACAGTGCGCCGCTTGGGAGTGCGGCAGCGCTCCCACCGAGGGTTCGGATCCCACCTACAGACCGGTTCCCGCTCACTGGCTGAGCGAGGTGCGGGTGCAGCGCTGAGGGTTGCGATCAGTTGCCGGTCCCAGTCCGGTACGGGCGCAACACTGAGGGTTGCGATCCGTTGCCGGACACGAAAAAAGACAAAAAGAAAAAAATAAATATAATTATATGAAATTGATAACCAACCTAGAGCTGATCAAGATCTAATTCTACCTACATTAGTGAACTGAAAAAGTAAATAACATGAGGCAGACAATCTACTTATTGATAACTGAGACTAAGAACAATGTAATGTATAAGGAAAGTAATATGGTAAATCATTTTACCTTAGAATGAAATGTAGAGATACCAGAATAATAGAATAAGCCTATAATCAGTAATGTCTCAGACATGTATGAACGAGACAAAGAGAAAAGCCTTGTCAATTATTAGGATACAGATATATAACTACTTTTTCATATTTTCGCAAGGTAAATGTGTAATCATTGCAACCAAAAAATAGTCAAAATATAATAATAAGGCAACAGTAAAAATAAACAAATAAAAAGAATTATTTAGTATAGAAGCAAAATAATAGCAGGGAGACTGTGAAAAAGCAATAGAAAAATATAACAATAACTACTATCATATAATTAAACTGAAAGGCACTAAATTTCAATTACATTTCCTGAAAATTATCACAAAACTTGACTTTTTAGGAATTTATTGCTGATGTTACTTAGTATGTTTCCTTCCACATTTACTCACATGAATTCAATCCTTAGGAATTTACCCTTTTGTTTTCAATTATTTTTTCTAAACTCTTTTATTATTAACTCTTAATTAACTAATTTAATAGGGATAAAGGAGGTCACACATAACCCCAAATCACTTTGAAACAGTAGTCTGGTAACTAAGTATGACACATAATTCTTAATCTACACTAACTGAACCCACAACTACATTATTACTATTATTTTCTTCTCTACCTAAAAAGCCTCAAAATGTTACTGAACTGGCTCAAATCCCTAAAGCTACATATAGCCTTGAGAACTTTATAAACGTTAGAGACCTTCTTTCCCCTCTCTTTCTAGTTAATCCCCTTTTCTGTTAAATGCCAGGTAATCAATATTTTCCTCCAATATAAATTATATTTCTTTAAGGTATTGGAGCTGTATTTACTATGAATCACTGCAAATTCCTACTTTGGAAAGAAGAATGGTGGTAAGGTAAAAATAAACAAAGGTATTCTCACAGACCCAGTATTCTCCACAGATTCAGGATTATTTACTATGACCCAAGGGGTAGATCACCACCACCTTTGACAGACAAATCAGTTCAATCTAAGCACTTCAAGAATAGATTCCTCTCCTCTGGAGCAGGGGTGGAGAAGCAGGTTGTTAAGACATGTACAAATCAACCACTGCTGTGTAAATATATAATTATAGATATATAATTATGAAC